TTATTACTTGTATCAAAACAAGGCGAGTCTTTCCGTCGGCTCGTAACGTAGTGGTTTCACTATGTGTTCCTTTGTGGAGAACATTTCTTAACCAACATGAAGAAGGCTAATACCGATGATGTTAAGCGAAAGAGAGTTAATGTTTTTATCATTATCTTTAGTGTGTATAAAGGAGATATATTACGGTCCGAGGCCTACGGTTGGATACAACAAAACGATATATCATTCGCTGGAGTTTATCTCACTTAACATATCGAAGAATTAACTCAACCTCTACATACATTGTCATCGTCACCAACCTCTGAGTATGGATAACGTCTCGCCCGGGTACGACTCACGTTGGGTGAATGGGAATTCCTCTTACGGGATATTCGACTGTTAACTTTCCTCGATTATCGAGTGCGTTCATAATTATTATTGCTGGATAATTCACTGAACCGGAAGCTAACTCCGATATCATTTAGGAATATCGTTAGCCTATGACAATGTTACGTTTTTTTCTATGAGTTTACTTATATTCCGTTGCAATTAAGTTAACAATCGACGCCAAGTGAAGAGTTAATATTTAATTGCTGAACTAAGAAAGAGTATAAAGAGTTCTATATGACGCCACGCGAAATATCAATAACACTACGCTCGTTGGGTTAAGCTTCCCTGTATCTTAGAAGGAATACGTAAAGAGTATCGGGAATATTTGTCTAGACATGTGGTTATCGTGACGACTCGTATACGTAACGGCTAATACAATGACGACTAGTATAATCGTTAATCACACAAGCCCATCATGAAGCGATGCTGAGAAGAACCCTCAAGAATAGCCCATTGCGTTCACAGCTATTCAACAAGACTGGGAAGCCTGGCTGCAGGAGAAGAAGGCAGTACGTTTTGGTTTGAACTACAAGTTTTGACAAACACCTAACATCATAGTCACTTTTTGTAGTTTTTCTGAACTGTTCAATTAATGATGAGAATGTTGATATCCAAAGGAGATTTAATGCACAAGCGAAGAGTTTGGTATGTTATTTATTCTGAAAGAAAATTTTCCAATTTTATTACTATGCTCTAAGCTGACCATGCCATTACTATTATAGAGTGTACACCCAAATGATGAGGAAGATGTTGACAACACAGAAAGCAGCAGGACAAGTGAGGTCTGTGCAATTTTATTTTTTTAATGAATTATATTAATAAAATCTTATGGATTTAATGTCCTGTTTAGTCAGCAATCAAGGATAAACCAAAATTCAATCTCATAGAATTTCAAAACATAGTTTTATCTATCAAAGATAGTGACAAGTATGTGCTAAATACAGGAAGGATACACTATTTCTTTATGAAAAAAGTTGAGACAAGAGCAGTAAGTATTGGTTATTTATGGCATGACAGACAAAGAAGTTGATGACAAATACTAAATGTAATCTCTTTATATTTTATTTCACTACTTATGACTTAGTTCATTGCACTCATTCATCGATACTGATGCTAATAATACATATGAAATTCATCAATATAAATACTGAATGTTGTTATTTTTAATTTTTTCAATTCAATTGACAGAAATCACTTACAGATCTTTGAAAAGTTGTGATGCAATCATATCTCTCTGATAATGAATCTATAATGCTCAGTTACACTACAATTATGAGTGGGTCCATGTAGCAATTCAATGTATGCATATTTGATTTGTTTCTTGTTGACAAAAGGATTTAGGACAGGAATCATTCTGTAATATTATCGACAGTTTTGGATTTCTTCACACAGGTTGACCTTTGGGAAAATAAAAAAAAAAGTCTCTTGTATTATATATGACACAGTTTGAAGCTTGGTTCACTGCAAATGTCTATTCAAGCCTTGTTGATTTTGGCATTTGGGACTGTCAAGATTTACGATAAACACGACGTATTCCTCCGTGATTTCCAGCCGCAGCTCAATATTTGTAGGACCAAATAACGAAACAGATTTCGATATATCGGGTTAGTTACACTAGAAAAGAAACAGATTTCACCCGATGCGGACGAATTTGTTTCCTTTCATGTATTTATTAGTTTTAGAGTATAGAGCAGCGCAGTAAGCGCAGAACTCGAAATAGATATATAAGCAGTCGTAATTTCCTTAGCAAACGGTGTCTTCGGTTG